CTATCCCTCCACCCAAGTCCCTCCATATAACGCCCTCCAAATAGCTATGACCTGCTCTTTGATGGGCCAGAATCGGATACGGAGTTTGTACGGGGCCATCTGGTTTTAGTCGGGTGATACTCTGCTGTGATCTTTAATTTAACCTCGGTGTTGACATGATTTTTCTGCCTCCCCCCCCCCCCCCATCTCTCCCTGTCTCTCTTCATTTTCTCTGCAGGGATCTGGCGGCCTTCGACAAATCTCACGACCAAGCTGTCCGCGCCTACCAGGAGCATAAAGCCAGTATGCATCCCGTGACGGCGATGCTGGTGGGGAAGGATCTGAAAGTGGATTAAGGACCTGTTGGTTGCTGATTTTACATTTCCCTTTTTCTTTTTTTAAATTGAACCTATGAAGAAATACAAAATTTTAACTCTCATTGTAATTAAAAATGTCTTTTTTTTAATTTTCTCATGATTTCACTAAAATTCTGTACCTTTTAAAAATAATGTGCTATAGTCTTTGTGAACTTTACTGAACTTTACTCTTTTGACTTACAAGTTTTATTTATTTATTTATTCATTCATTTATTTATTTATTTATTTATTTATTTATGGTTTTTCGAGACAGGGTTTCTCTGTGTAGCTTTGTGCCTTTCCTGGAACTCACTCTGTAGACCAGGCTGGCCTTGAACTCACAGAGATCCGCCTGGCTCTGCCTCCCGAGTGTTGGGATTAAAGGCGTGCGCCACCACTGCCCGGCTGACTTACAAGTTTTAATATTTCTTCAGAGGCAGGATCTCACTGCATAGCTTAGGCTGACTTTGAACTTACCATTCCCTTTCTCACCTTTCCATATACAAGAATTACAGGGGTATGCTACCACGCCCAATGGAAGTTTCAGATTTTTATATTAGGTTTTTTTTTTTCAGTGTAATTACAAAATATTTTGACACATTACTTAACTAATGTTTTATTTGTTTAAAGATGTATTTATTTATTATGTATACAGTGTTCTGCCTGCATGTATACTTGCATGCCAGAAGAGGGCACCAGATCTCATTATAGATGGTTGTGAGCCACCATGTGGTTGCTGGGAATTGAACTCAGGACCTCTGGAAGAACAGCCAGTGCTCTTAACCTCTGAGCCATCTCTCCAGCCCCCAACTAATGTTTTATTAATGTTTTCTTGCCATACTGATCATTTTTATATTTGAATTTGCCAGCAGGCCAAAAATTTAGCATGATCAGTGTTTTGCTTTTTATTTTACTTTTTATTTTTATTTTTATTTTTTATTTTTTAAAGATTTATTTATTATGTATACAGCATGTTTGCCTGCAGGCCAGAAGAGGATGCCAGATCTCATTATAGGTGGTTGTGAGCCACCATGTGGTTGCTGGGAATTGAACTCAAGACCTCTGGAAGAGCAGTCAGTGCTCTTAATCGCTGAGCCATCTCTCCAGCCCCTATTTTACTTTTTAAAATGTGTGTGTGTGTGGAGTGCATGTGTCCTGAGTACAGATGTACACGGGTACACATGCACAGAGGCCAGAGGACATCTCCACAGGCACTGTCCACGTTTATTTTTAGAGAGGGTCTCTCACTGGTAACTGGACAAGTAGGCTAGGCTCGCTGGCCAGCAAACCCCAGAATCAGCCTACCTTCGCCTCAGTAGCTCTGAGATGACAAGCATGTGACTGACTTTTTTAGTGTGGGTTCTGGGATCAAACTTAGGTCTTTGAAAGGTAAACACTCTATCAACTGTGTTCTTTCCCCAGTCCAGAGTTCTGCTTTTTAAATAACTTAAGCATGAACCCTTGGATTTGCTTGTCACCAGGGATAGATTCTCCTTCCAGAGTTGTGTGAGCCCTGGCGGGACGCTGTGCTCCCAGCCCTGGATCCATGCTGCTGGTCCAGCAGGCTTGTCCAGGTCTTCTGTTCATCACAGGTCAGATGACCACCCTGGACACCAATACCTCCCAGTGTTCCCTCACTCCATTCAGCCTCCTTCATCACCTCAGTAGCCAGCAGGATTCTTCACCCTCACAGAGCATATGGCATGTGAAGACACATACTGAAAATGATTGAATTTGAACCAAATAAAAGGCAGGCCTAATGGAGCATCCTGTAATGCCCAGTGGTGCCCCCAGGGCATTTCCACACTCGGTTTGAGACTCTCTGGGGCATTAGGATTATTCGGTTGCCTCGTACAGAACCCAAGTTGGTAAGGGCAGAGGAGTATTATTTAAGACTCGCAGATAGACAGACTGCAGAGCTATCAGTGCTCCTGTTTCATGTGCTTCCCTTGCCCACACTGCACTCTGGACCCCTCCCACCTCTGTGTAAACATGAACAGACCACCACAATTCCAGATTCTCCAGTTGAGCCCATTCCTGATCAAATAAAGTCCAGCCAAGGGAAGGAGTGTTGTCTTAGAGTATGTGTGTCATCACTGGGTACCCTGACAGTTGTGGTCCCTTGGTGGATTACAGTGGTCCCCTTTCCCAGCACACAGCTCTCACTTGTATTTCCTCCCTGGAACGGGCAGGGGGCGCCAAAGACACATCCCGCTACAGGTTTACCTAGGACCAAGGACTGGCTCAAGTTCAGTTATGTCCAGAGTTGTCTCTGTGTCGGAGCAAATGCACACGATCGATCACCAGAGGAAGTAAGAGAGGAAATTTCTAAATGATGCAAAAAACCAAACTGGATGTCCTAATACAGTCTGAGAACGAATGCCACCCACCTAGCCTTAGGTGGTTTAAGAAAAGTCTTGGGGTTGGGGATTTAGCTCAGTAGTAGAGCGCTTGCCTAGCAAGCACAAGGCCCTGGGTTTGGTCCTCAGCTCTGGGAAAAAAAAGTCTCAAGAGAGACAGCAGCGTAACAGTCACCCACCGAGCAAAGAAAATGAGAATATAGGGACAAAATGACGATTGGCTACATGATGCCTGGGGCCTGTGTGTAGAGTCCTCACGTGGCTGAGTGTGACATCACCAGAAACTGGTATCATCTTGGAATTCCTCAAAAGCCGGGCCCACCTGAGGTGTCAGCAAGGGCACCCAGTTGTTGGATGACCTGAGGGGTAGTTGGGCATCTCCGTCTTTATGAGACTGTTCATCTCCGGACACCAAGCCCAGGAACGTGCCTGAGTGGGAATGGACCTTGTTTCGTCTTCGACACCCAGCACAGAGAGCTAGACACCTACCAGGTGTTCAGAAAGGGCTTGGTGAATGAATGAATGAATGAATGAATGAGGACCGAATGAAGGTGGTTCACACCCGAGGGCCACAGCTTTCCCAGAAGTATAGAAGGTGAGACCTGTGTCTGGGAGTTGGGCGCAGGTTGAGGAGAGGGGGAGATGTGGGCAGTTCCCTTTGGGGAGGCATGAGTCAAAGGGTGGGGCTATCTATCACCCACAGGACCACAGGACTTGTTGCAACAGTCTGCTGGGGTAAGCAGATGTCAGTCCAGCGTAAGGGCTTGGGGCATGGGTTCCGCCCCAAATACAGGCACAGATTCAGGCTAAGCATCACCGTCTGAACAACTAGGGCAGCTTCATAAGCACTGGGGTTCAGGAGAAGAAAGAATCCAGAAGTTTGGGTTCATGGGCAGAAATGAATTCAGGTGTGTCCAGGTTGGATACTGGAATAGAAGATAACATCTCTATCAAACTGCTGTTGTCAAAATGCAGGGCACGGTCGGGGTGTGGCTGTCTGATGAACATACTTCCATTAGACCCTGAGAGTGAGCCCCTGGATTCGGATATGGGTGTTGGCAGAAGTGACTGTACCTGTTCTAAAGCAGAAACAGGCTTTCTGTTGGAATGATCAATTTCTCAGAACTGACGTGCGACTAAAGCACACGCGTTTCTTTGAATCCCCTTTCACTCCCTCAGTGTCCTTAACACGAGTGGGAGAGGGTTGGGGGAGGGGAGGGCTTGGCAGTTATTGGCAGCGAAGAAGCTTAGGTGAATTGGGGATATCCAGGTGCCAAGATAAGGAATAGTCACAAAACGACTGAGGTCATGTGGAGTGTTAGAAACCCAAGTCCCAGTGAGTGTAATCCTAAACACTTCTGTAGCGTCCCCATCCAGCAGACTCTGACCCAACACATGAGTTCATTTTATCTTTCCAGCTGCCCATTGGGATAGGCACTAGTGATATCTCCGTTTTGTAGGCGAGAAAGCTGAAGCCCGGAGGAATCAAATAAATCACAGAGCCAGGATTTATTCCAGCTAGATGCTGCAAAACACACAGGTAAACAGTTTGCCTTTGGATGAGGAAACAGACGGGTAATTCACTCACCCCAGGGCCATAAGCTGTTGTTCATACTCTAGACACACAACCTTGAGTTGTGAAAATGATCTCTGGGCTGAGCATTCTTCTGGTGGAGTGGCAGCTTCAGAGGCACAAATCAGGGTCGGGGAGGCATTGCTCAACATGTGTTTGTAGAATGAGTTTGTAGAATAAATAATGAATGAGGATTGCCACACTCCGGGGTGTCACAATTGACCGAGGGGATGCGTTTTACCAGTTGAGTAATTCCCTACAGGGGGCAGGGGGTGGGACATGGTGTTTATGAGCAGCTTTCTGGAAAGAACTCAAGAAAGGGAGAGAGAACTGGGGACCCTGAGCAGGAGGGGTACCAGCAGGGGTCAGACCTCCAGAGGAAGAGACCCTTGGTCTTTCTGTCTGCAAGGCTGCCTCGAGGGTGGGCTCACCTACCCATACCTCTCTCCCCAGCCCCTAGTTCGGCTTCCAAAAAGGCCAAAGGAACACCAGAGCCGGCAATAAATATTTGTTCAAAGTGTGAATGAGTGAAGGCTAGGGAAGGGGTGTGTTTTGAAAATCCATTTTCCGTCTCCCTGCCAACCACACCCCGGTAGGCACTCCCCTCCCTGGTGAAGGATAAAGGCTCTCCAGTCTGGGACGGTAGGTAGGTAGGTAGGTAGGTAGGGAAGGAGCCAGCGCTGGGTTCGCAGTGGCCTGTTGCTTTAGAGGGACTGTCACGGTAACCGGGCCATGCCGAGGTACACGGTGCACGTGCGTGGGGAATGGCTGGCGGTGCCCTGCCAGGACGGGAAGCTCACGGTAGGCTGGCTGGGCCGCGAGGCCGTGCGGCGCTACATGAAGAACAAACCGGACAACGGTGGCTTCGCCTCGGTGGATGAAGTGCGCTTCCTCGTACGCCGGTGCAAGGGCCTGGGCCTGCTGGATAACGAGGACCTGCTGGAGGTGGCCTTGGAGGACAATGAGTTCGTCGAAGTGGGTGAGTGGCCCCGCAGGGGAACGGGATGGACTGCCCTGGGATGGCCTGGAGGAAGCCACCCTCGTGTCAGGGGAAAGGATTTGAGAAAAAGCGGTTTGAGCACTTGACCTGTGGGTGCGGGGGTTTCCCAAGCTAAACTTTTCACCCACCTTTCCCTCAGCCTGCTGCAACAGATGCAGAGAGGCAGGTCCTAAGTGACAAGATTCTGCCCTTGAACCCAACCAAGGCTGCAGAGCTGAATGCCCTTGCAATTATAGACTCCTTCAGCCATCGGATAAACCTCAGCCGACCTAAGGCCGGCAGCACAGGGGTGCTGAGTTTTCAGATTTAAAAGAAGTGACCGCCAGAGTAGAACTTAGGTCCCGCGCCTACCTTCCTGCTTTTTGCTTTCCTGTATAAAGACGCTGAGGCCGTGGGGAAATGCAGGAGGTCCCGTTCCAGCAGCCATGGCTAGACCATGCAAGCTCAGTGTATGGAGGGGCCGTTCCCGGGTCTGGCAGCAGCCCAAAGGTGGCACCCTGTGGTCTGCAAGGCCCTCTCTCTCCTCTTCTTGTTTCAGTCATCGAAGGCGATGTCATGTCTCCTGACTTCATTCCCTCACAGCCGGAAGGAGTTTTCCTGTATCCTTTCTGCAGCCTCTTTGGTCAGCCCTGGAGGCCGGGCCTGATGTGGTGGGGCTGGGGCTTTTCCACACTGCCAGTCTGTTCCTTTACCTGGCTTCAGATACAGCAAATATCGGGAGCCTGAAAAGGTAAGCTGCAAGCCGCTGTTCTTTTTTGTGGGGAAAAATGAAGTCCTGTCATGTCTGGTGACATGATAACTGTCCCCTTTAAAGAGGAAGGGGTGCGTACCTGGGCGAATACCATACCTAAGGACAGGTTCAGCCAGCTCTGAGTGGTACTGCAGGGGACCTGGCCTCGATTTCCTGACTTTTCTTGTCCCGTTTCCTTGTAAGCCAGGCATGTTATTAGCACGCTAATGCCTCGTAACCATAATAAAACATCTTTGGCATCAGGCTGTGTCCAAGGCTAGCCCTCAGAAGGTTCCCCGACTCACTGAGATTCACTCCTTTTGTGCAGTACATTGCCTTAGATGGGGACAGTCTGAGCACGGAGGATCTGGTCAACTTGGGAAAGGGACGTTACAAGATAAAGGTATGTGGGGAGGGGGGAAAGAAGGGACGGTTCCACTTCCACTGTTCACGGAAGACTTTCATGTGCTCGCTCTGGCCCGTGCTTTCCTAGCTCACTTCAACTGCTGAGAAGAAGGTGCAGCAGTCGAGGGAAGTCATAGACAGCATCATAAAAGAAAAAACAGGTACCTCTTTCTCCGGCGGTCCTGACGTTATTTTTACGGACACACGTAAGAGTGAAAGCTCCTTTGAGTCTAATCACGAGGGTGTCGGCTTATTTTGTGTTCCAGTTGTTTACGGCATCACCACAGGCTTTGGGAAATTTGCCAGAACGGTAATCCCCGTCCACAAGCTACAGTAAGTCTCAGGTGCACGCGCTCGCGGCCCATCTGCCCCAACTTTGAGAGTTCGCCTCCAGGGAGGTCGTTCACGTTTGCCACGTGGACATTGATTGACCACTTGCTTTAGACCAGTGGTTCTCACCCTTCCTCACGCCGCGATTCTACAACACAGCTCCTCACGTCGTGGTGACCCCCAACCATACAATTATTTCGTTGCTACTCCATGACTGTAATTTTGCTACCGTTCTGAATCATAATATAAACATCTGATATGCAGGATGTCGGATATGCGACCCCCGAAGGAGTCGCAACCCATACGTTGAGAACCACTGTTTCAGACCAAGCCTTGGGTGGCAAACTCTCACACAACCCTGGAAGATAGCCAAGCTTCTCATGTATCTTGGTGAACAGTGTGAAGCTTGAGTTGACTTGTACCCAACTCATCACGAGAGAACAAGACCTGCTGTTTCCATTCACGGCCTGCGGCTGCCCATCTAAAATCTTACGGTTGTCCCCTTTATATTCCCAGCTGGAGGGAGCATGCTCATGCAAGGTGTCTAAGAGGGTTCTCATCTTTCTCTTTCAGGGAGCTCCAGGTCAACTTAGTTCGTTCCCATTCTTCAGGTAAATTGTTCCTAGCATTGGGTGCCTCCTAAATCACATTAGACCACGTGATTGACTAGATAGTGCTACCAGCCGCATCAGCTGATGTGTTCCAAGTGCATTCAAGGGCTGGGTACCGGGGACCCAGGAGTGTGAACAGATGGCATTAGACCAGACCAACCTTCTGCTGCAGCTTAGAACGGGCCTGGTGGAGGGATGGGCTTGAGATAGGAGCATGTATCCAATCCTATGAAGAGAGGAATGCATTTAGGAGAGAAAACAAGGCTAGCATTCAGGGCATGAGCTAGGTAGGATGAGCCCTGGGCCCAGCACACTGATGAAGCCATGTCAAAGCCGCCCTGCAGGTGAGGTCCACTGAAGGACTTTAAGGAAGGGATTGAGAAGGAGAACCTGGGCCTCCAGCTTGGTCTGGACAAGGCTTGGAGGAGAAAGACAGGCAACCGGCACCGCTGTCCACTCAGCTCAGAAAGCCAGGGGGAGACCGTCAGAAGGGGGGAAGGACCCAAGAGGTGGGGGCAGGCAGGAGGTGAGGGATTTGTCTTTGTTTTGTTTTCCTTCTTGAAGAAAAATGACAATTCTGCTCTGTAGGTGTCGGGAAACCACTCAGCCCCGAGAGGTGCCGGATGCTCTTGGCTTTGAGGATCAATGTTCTAGCCAAAGGATACAGCGGAATCTCCTTGGAGACCCTGAAACAAGTTATTGAAGTATTTAATGGTAAGGCCATGGATCCTTAGTTTGACTTTTCGGAGAAGTTGGCCACACCCCCAAAAGTAGATTTGGATGACTAGATGCCAAGGTTAAAAGGAAAATGATCAAGACGAGTGTAAAACAGGTTTGGCAAGGAGGAGAGTCAGGTAGCAGGAATGGCAGCTCGAGTTATTTCCATAAATGTCAACCCATCTTGTGGTATCTTTCATCTAGCGTTTAAGATAAGTGTGAGCCCTGCCAGTAAGTTCAGGCCTACACAGAGCTTTCTATTCAATGGTGCCCATATATGATCAGAGAAATTGCACCAAGTCATCCATGAACAAACATAATTCCTGGATTATGTCCATCCCAGAGACAGTGGTACCCAGGAATCTGAACTCTTAGTGTTTCCCAGATGATGGACAAGTTGCACTTGCACATGGAAATCTAACATTTTTAAAAGGTAGGTCAAAATGTGAAGAGGTTAACAACTGACTTGGCCATGAAGCCGTTGTGGGATAGGACATGATGCAGCACAACTCAGGCCTTAAAGGGGAGACCAGATTCTCAAGGCTCAGGAAGCCGTCCCTTCCCACAGCTCAGGATAAAACATCAGGTCACTGGGAATCCCAGGGATCTTTGGGGGAAAGGAAGAGGAAAAGAAATAAGGTCTCATGTCCTGCAGAGAAGACCAGATGCTTGAGTTGCTATGTAGAGGGGACAGGGGACTCATAAATGTGACACACTGACCAGTGAAGGTCACAGTCTACTGGCCATAGGGCTGTCTACACAGATCCATAGTGATCACAACACCCATCTGCAAGCTCTGCTCCACCACAAACCTCAAACCCAAGACAGTAGAACTCCAGCTCTGAATGCACCTATGCTCTGGTGGATGTGTTTAAGGCATCCCTGGGTCCCTGCTGCTCTGAGAATCCCCCAGGTCAGCTATAGTCTGGAAGCTGGCCTATGGTTGGCACTGATGTGTCTAACTGATATTATTTAGCAACAGCTGTGGAAACAATCACCACCATCAGGACTTTATTTTAGGAAACAGAAGCCTCCTTTTGGGGGGGGGGGGGGCGTTAACTCTTGGGGAAATTTCTAAAAAAACAGCACATGTGTATGCATAAATGGTCATAGTGTATGAGGTGATAACTGAATGACGAGAGAGAGAGAGAGAGAGAGAGAGAGAGAGAGAGAGAGAGAGAGAGAGAGAGAGAGAGAGAGAGAGAGGAGTTTTGCCTGCAAACTTATTGCCCTAAAGAACTGTGTTAATAATACTTTGGTGTGCCATGTCCTTCTAGAACAATCCATGGTTTTTAAAGTAAACATTTACAGTTTTTAAGCATTCTCCAACAGCTTTTAGTGACTGCATATAATCTGATCACATGAATGTCCCTTAATTCTGTATTTCGATTATTTCTAACTTTTTTTTTGTTGTTGTTGTTTTTTTGGTTTTTTTTTGAGACAGGGTTTCTCTGTGTAGCTTTGCGCCTATCCTGGATCTCACTCTGTAGACCAGGCTGGCCTCGAACTCACAAAGATTCACCTGCCTCTGCCTCCCGAGTGCTGGGATTAAAGGCGTGCGCCACCACCGCCCGGCTATTTCTAACTTTTTGCTCTTATAAACCAGGACATGATGAGCAACAGCTAGTTTATAATTGTGTTTCTGAGATATTACTAGAATCCCAAGAGTGGAGTCACGACAGCCTGAGCACCATGTCCTTCCTTCTGGATACCTGCCCGCCCCACATACACACATACACACATTTTCTCTCCCTCCTCCTTCCTCCCTCCCTCCCTCCCTCCCTCCCTTCCTTCTTCCCTCTTTTCTTCTTCCCTCCACACTCTCCTCTTTTATAACACCTCAGCTGGTCTCTCTCTCTCTCTCTCTCTCTCTCTCTCTCTGTGTGTGTGTGTGTGTGTGTGTGTGTGTGTGTGTGTGTGTGTGTGTGAGACATGGTTTCTCTGTGTAGCCCTGGCTGTCCTGGAACTTGCTCTGTAGACCAGGCTGGCCTTGAACTCAGAGATCCACCTGCCTCTGCTTCCCGAGTGCTGGGATTAAAGGCGTGCGCCACCACCGCCCAGCTAAACTGCTTCTCTTACACATTAGTTGTGCCTGAGAATTGATCCTCCTTGGCTATGTATGCCACAAAAGGACTCTAGACCCTGTTGGGAGTGAGGGTTGTCTTCACTGGCAGAGGAAAGATAACCACAATGGCGTAAGCGCTCTCGAGGTAACCGGTGCCTCCTTCTCACGCAGCCTCCTGCCTATCCTACGTTCCAGAGAAAGGAACTGTTGGTGCCAGTGGAGACCTCGCGCCCCTCTCTCATCTTGCTCTGGGACTCATTGGAGAAGGAAAGATGTGGTCCCCAAAGAGTGGCTGGGCTGATGCTAAATATGTAAGCCTCACATAACAGCTTCATCCGTAGCGATGCTCCTGAGCTGGAGCCAGGAGACTCTTGCGTGTGTGATGCCACTCTGTCTTTATGGCAGACAAGTTACAGGTAGTCAACTCCAGCCTAGGAGGCACACCAGGAAAGGAGACTGGCTTCCATATTCCCCTGCCAGCACCCAAGATGTGTGGATCTAGATGGGAACGCAGTCTTAATTTCAGGAATGTATTCCGCACTCATAAGACTGCTGGTGCCCACTGGGGAGGTCACACTAGGTCACAATTGTTTTGGGGAGCTCATCTTACAGGTGAGAGTTCTGAAAGACAGAAGAGTTTGCTCTGTGGCCTCTAGAAAGCACAATCTGTTCCCCTTGATGAGCTCACCAGAACAGTGTGTTTTACACAAAGCTTTTAATGTTTTCTTCATAAACAAATCTCAACTGAGCAGCCTACCGCATCATTTAAAGTGTCCTCTATGAGCAGGTATGAGAGGTACCCGAACAGTAAGTTAAAGAGACAGAGGACCAAGGAGGAAGAAGAAACTAGCTCACCCTTTGGGGGATCCGGGTTCCAGGTCATCTTTCTTCCATGCAGCCTATCTTGGTTCTACCTCTATGGACAATGTTTCCTCAACCACCTTCACATTGCAGCCAGCCTGAGCTTGGTCAACAGCAAATCCAAACACATCCTGGTTAAACTTCTAGCATGTCCCTCATCTTGAGGATAAAGTTCAGACATGATGTGGCTTCAAGAGTGTTGTTTTCCATGTGATCCCCACAGTCCCTTCTACCCAAGGCTCTCCATGGCAGAAACTAGAGTTAGCCTACAGCTCAAATATACTCTGGGCTAAGCAGATCGCTCAACACTTTGTCCCCATTTTTTTTTTCTTCTGAAAAGTCCTCTAGGAATCTACCCGCTCTGCTCCTCTGATCCTTTCCAGGTCACCCACACGTATGTGGTTATGTGTTATTTCTTCCCTATATATGCTCGCAAGCATTCAGCCTATGAGTGACCTGGTTGTCCTGAGCTTGGCAGTCTCTACTGTTCACACCCTCAGCTCAGCACAACACTGTACTTCAGTGAGAAGTCCTCAGACCCTGAGAAATAGACAGAGTTAAGTGACACTGGTCAGTCTTTCTCCTACTTTAACTCTATCCCCCCACCCTCCAGGAGAACCTCAATGTAGCAGCATCTTGTACTTTTATTATTTGAGAGAAAGCATATTCTGTCCCTCTCCTCTTGGGATTCTAGTTCTCCCTTGTTGAGGGGATTCCATAATCTCCTCTTCATTAGTGTGCACACATTTGCTCCCAAGTCCTGCTCTGAGGTTCTGTCGGTGACAGAGGTTGCAGAAACAAGGGCTGAGGACTATTTGGGGGTCCTGCTTTGGATGCAGAAGCATGCATATAGACAGCTAGCCCAGAGCCCAGCCTTATCTGAGAGCAGGTATATCTGGGTGAGTCTCAAACTTGATGCCCAACACAGAAGAACTTGAAAACAAAATGTATTCTGTAAGCAACCAAATTGCCTTGGTTCAAAAGTCCACAAGTTATTGAAAAACTAAGCCTGATTTCCAACTAAATAGACATAGACGCTGGCCCCAAGAATCTGGCCAGAACCAGTTTATGTAGGCATAATCTTTTATAAGACAAACTTTGGCACTGAAAGTACTTCACTGGGCTCCATATGAAATAAAAAAAAATTAAGCTGATATTTCAAATAATAACCACGTTTGTGCTTTTAATCATTCAACAGGTCCTAGAAGCCCATGGGTTGAAACCAGTTGTTTTGAAACCAAAAGAGGTAAGTCAAGAAAAACGTGTTTGTATTAACAAATCTTCACATATGCCCTGTCTTCATCCTCAATACCAGCCTCAGTGGTTCCTTAAAATAAACACAACTGATGTGTTGATTCACAGCTGCTCACTGGAGAAAGGGCTCCTCTGTGAATATTAAGATTAGTCATGACACAAGTCCCTGAGGGTTCTCTGAGAACATAAATTTCAAATCCAGTTTTTAAGGAGCTCGATAAGATCTGCTCAGTCAACCCCTGAAGATGCTCTCAGCCCCAGCCTTGGAGCAGGACAGTCTTCAGATGTCTTGTCTCTATGATGGTGAGAAAGTTAATAAAAACATAACACAGAGGGCTGACGGCGCTGCACATATTCTTCACTGCTGGGTCCCATGGCTGCCTTGACAGGGGAACGGTCATCGGGTACCCTTGGGCCAGCGCTGTGCTAATGATTCCAGCTGTGCTGCCGCTCAAGCCTGTGGATCTGCCCGACTGGCCCACACTTGTGAAAACACACCCACGGCACAGAGCTCAGCCGACTGGCCGGTTTCTCTCCTGCCGAAGCAGACGATATCAGATCTGCTCGTCTGTGGGTTCCTTACGGTGAACACAATAAGAAACTTTTCTTCCTTCCCACGCAGGGCCTGGCACTCATTAATGGGACACAGATGATCACTTCCCTGGGCTGTGAAGCTGTGGAGCGGGCCATTGCCATCGCCAGGCAGGCTGACATTGTGGCTGCCTTAACCCTTGAGGTGCTGAAGGGCACCACCAAAGCCTTCGATACCGGTCAGCAGGTTCTGTTTGCTTACTCATTCAACCAGGGCGACCTGGTTGACTTTTTAGGCTTGGAGGTGGAGGGGGTGGGTGGCAGGGAAGGGCGAGAAGCCCCACATGCTCCTAGTAGACCCAGGACTGCACAGCGTCACTGAGTCCTGTAGCAGTTCCACTCTGAAGACAGACACTGGCCTGGAGAGCCAAAGCAATCTGCTCCAGGTCACCCGGTAATCTGGGTGTTGCCAAACTAGGTATTGCTTTAAGAGTCAGTTTGTAAGACTCGAACATCCGGTAAAAAAGGGTCGGGGAGAGCGCAGTAGGTGAAGATCTTGTTTTGCAAATCCAAGGACCTAAGTTCAGTCCCCAGAACTGACTTTTTAAAAATTGGACGTGGTGGTGTGTGCTTGTCATCCGAGAGCTCAGGAGATGGAGACAGCATATCCCTAGGGCTCACTGGCCAGCCTAGCTTACTTGATGAGTTTCAGGCCAGTCAGGGACTCTGTCTCAAAGTGAAAATTTACAGGGAAGGTGAAGGTGGACAGTGCCTAAGGAATGGGACCCACACTTGTTCTCTGGCTTCCACACATACATTCATATACACTCGGCATTCATGTGCTCATGTATGTATAGACAGACAGAAACACACACACACACACACACACACACACACACACACACACACACACAGAGAGAGAGAGAGAGAGAGAGAGAGAGAGAGAGAGAGATTACAATTGCCCTGATAAGAAAATTGGGAAGGCAAAATGATATAAGTATCTGTATCTTCTCTAGAAATTAATGAATGTCAAGGGCTCCATGCTAATAATAAGTAAAGCAGAAAATGTCCAAAAATGACTCGGTCAAATTAAGCCACGATACGTGCTCTCTGTTACCTTCAGTCTGGTACCTTTGAGGGTGGGCCTGGAGTTAAGTTTCTAAGTGTAGTCTGCAAACAGTCTGTACTCCAACACGTGCAATAGAGACAACCAAGTAAAGGAAGATTTAACCTTTGGGTTGAAGCATTTAATTCTGCATGATGGATGAGACCCCCCAGGACTTTAGAGGACTCTGCCAGCACCGTGGATGGTCCTGCCCCCTCTGTGGCTCATTCTAATATCAGAATTGCTCAGACTTTTTTTTTTTTTTTTGCCTCCTTCAACTCTAGACATTCATGCTGTCCGCCCTCACCGAGGGCAAATTGAAGTTGCTTTCCGGTTCCGGTCACTCTTGGACTCGGACCACCACCCATCAGAAATTGCAGGTCTGGACACGTTTGGTTGGAGTGAGCTCTTTGGTGTTGTGTGTCCTGGGGAGACCAGTAATGTGTCGTCTGTTTTCTTCCCCGCCACCCCACCCACCCACCCCCCCGCCCTTCCTTGCACAGAAAGCCACAGGTTCTGTGACCGTGTCCAAGACGCGTACACCTTACGCTGCTGTCCACAGGTAAAGTCAAGAGACAGGAGGAGATCAGCAAAGGCTCTCGCCACAAATTCAGAGGGAAAACAATAGAAAAGAGAAGAGGAAGGTTTTAGAAAACCATGTCATGGCGGAATGTAATCCAAATCTCTCTACTGCTACTGTTAAAAATAGTGTCTTTTATATTTCCATTTCTCCCATCTAATCAATTTCTTACTGGGTCGGCTAAGCCTCCCATATCCTTTTTTTTTTTTTTTTGAGGGGTTTTTTGTTGTTGTTGTTTTGTTTTGTTTTTGTTTTTCGAGACAGGGTTTCTCTGTGTAGCTTTGCGCCTTTCCTGGATTTCGCTCTATAGACCAGGCTGGCCTCGAACTCACAGAGATCCTCCCGCCTCTGCCTCCCGCATGCTGGGATTAAAGGCGTGCGCCACCACCGCCCAGCAAACCTCCCATATCTTGGCCTCCTGTGTTGATGTACCACGACAGCTAAGTAGCATTGAAGAGTCTCACTGACTCTTCCTGTAGGGAAAAACTGAAGTCAGCCAGTCAGGACTGTTTACAAGCAAGTGTCATTCTGTCTTTCAGAATTCAAGTGCCTATGTGGCATGCCTTATCTTCATCTTATAAAATATAAACAATCATAAATGAATCTCTTACACAACTTTCAGTAAGAAATGTGTGCAGCTTTTTTTTAACATAATCTGACTGATGAGCAATTACGATCATCTCAAGAAACGATTTGTCAGTCACGTTCTGGTAGAGAGAAGAAAAAGGTGTTTTCCCTAGAATAACTACCCTCATTTACTGTGACTCAACAAGTCCTATTTGACTAGTTTATTAAGTAATAGTTTAGAAACTTCTATGGGAAAGAAGTTTGCCAATTTAACTAAAGCGTAGGAATAAGTCCTGACTTAAGAGCCTCTGCTCCTCTAAGAAAGATGACTGTCTCCAAATGATGGGCTCCGCTATCAGTGTCTCCCAAATACTAATTCATTGAATTTTCCCAACTGTGAAATTGGTACTGTCTCCCATTTTGCATTCAGGACCTGATGATCAGGCTTCGGTACCTTCCTTGCCCAAGATCCAAGATCATAGTACTAGATCTTTATCTCCTAGACTTCTGGGAGAAGCCAGGAAGTACACCATGGCTGTCCTGGGGCAAGGTGCAGGGTGACTGCTTTCCTTATGAGCATCTTTTTTTTTTTTTTTTTTTTTTTGGTTTTTTTCGAGACAGGGTTCCTCTGTGTAGTTTTGTGCCTTTCCTGGAACTCACGCTGTAGCCCAGGCTGGCCTCGAACTCACAAAGATCTGCCTGGCTCTGCCTCCCGAGTGCTGGGATTAAAGGTGAGCGCCGCCGCCGCCGCCGCCGCCGCCGCCGCCGCCACCACCACCACCTGGCACGAGCATCTTTAGTGTGATGTTTTATGATTCATGACATCAGGCCCTTGATGGCGACCGTCTGGGTGATCTCTGTGAGTTATGTCCAAGACATGCCTATAGTATCTTATTTACTTCTTATGAACAGAAAGGAGGCTCCCACCATCTACTTTCCAAGTCTCTGTTTCAACCAGAAACCTAACTTGCCTACATCCTACCACTGGAAATGCAATTCTTTGTGGCCAGAGCTGGCACTTTTTCCCATACCACAACATTTTGCCTATTAGTCTAATTATTTTTATATTTATTTTATGTATTATCTTACTGTGTTCTAATTTGTTTAGCTGAAAACTTACCAGTTGTCCTCATATCCTCAAGGAGCCAATTATACTTGGTATGATCATAACTGCAAAGCAGTTACAAGGAAAAGTCTGAAGATGCCATCTTTCAAGAATATTGGCTTTTTTTTTTTTTTTCTTTCCGAGACAGAGTTTCTCTGTGTAGCTTTGGAGCCTGTCCTGGAACTCACTCTGTAGACCAACCAGGCTGGCCTCGAACTCACAGAGATCCACCTGCCTCTGCCTCCCAAGTGCTGGGATTAAAGGCGTGTGCCACCACTGCCCGGCTGGAATATTGGCATTCTCACTGGGATATTAATCATAGACTTTATTTTTATTGTGCTTTAGGTCCACGGTGTGGTGAATGACACCATAGCGTTTGTGAAGGACATCATCACTACAGAGCTCAACAGTGCCACAGACAACCCTGTATCTTTTGCATGTTCTACGCATGTGCTGTTTTCTCTAGCTGGCTGTGTGAGGGGCTCTCTGTGTCGAATGATCCCATCTCACAGGGAGATGAGTAAGTCCCTGAAGCCGAGCACTCAGTGGCTTCTTCTAGGTCAGAGTCAGTAAGTGGCAGAAGCAGACATGTGAACCTGCTCTTAGGTTTTGAGTCTAGCATGCTGCGCTTTTAAAATTGGCCCACAAAAGATCAAGGCAGCGCCTGCAGCCTTGGCGGATACGTTTCACCGAGGCACTGATTGAAAACCCGCTGCTGAGGTTGTTGCAGATCTGATCAGAGCCTTCTTGACTGGCCTTTCCTTCTGCAGCCTGGTTCTAGTGATGCAGGGTGCTTATTTCCGGTGATGTAAGACATCCCCATCCCCAGACTTCTTTCTGGCGTGGGCTTGACTCGGGCCAGAGTATCTGTATCCGTACACACAGTAAGAATGCTTTCATTCCTTGTGGAGGATGCTTTTCTTCCCTTAACGGGATCCCTTCCCCCTAGAGAATCTGTTTTCTTTCTTTGAAGCTGAGATAATTAGTCGGGGTCGAGTCTTCACAGGCAGTCAGTCCTCTTAAGAACCCTTTCTTCCCGTTCCACGGCTGCCTCCTTTCTCCATACAGGAGAGACGGCTGAGGGAGGCTCACAGCCCTGGTGAACAGATGGTGGGTTACCCCACAGCTGGGGGAGGCTTCCCAGCCGAGGTCGGAGTGTGCTTTTGCTGTAAGCCTGCTTTAAGATTTCACTTTATGTTCTCTGAGATCGCCTCGCGGTGAGTTCAAACCGGCAGTCGATAATCCTTGGGATCGTTAATCTCTCACTCACTGTCCCAGAAGGAACAGTGGTTCTCACGCCTGTCGTGTGGCCTGATCTCGTGGGTTTGTTCTTCTTCAAAAGACCCTTGGTTGTGGATGAATTTTCAGGTAGCTGAGAGCGCCTCTAGTACTGATGTTCCCAGAGGGAACAGGCTTCTCCGTGCTGTACTGCAGGGAAAGAGCGCTGATTGCAAAATGCCACGTAGTTAGGGAAGCCACAAGTTGCTGGAACGCTAATGACCAACACAGTTGGGAAACAAGAGAATAATACAACATGTTGTGTTTTTAAAATAGAGCAGCAGTCGATGCAGGGATGCGGAGGACGGAGAGAAGACTGTATCTGTGTGGGGGATTGGCTGTAGGACTCTCTTCCCATTGCAAAATCTTTGTGTGCTCAAGTCTCTAATCTACCGCGGATGGCGTACACGCTTCTTCCTGTATACGTTTACGTCCTCTCTAGATTACCTGTGACACTTAATACAACGGAAACACTACAGAAGTAGTTGTTTTATTGTATTATTTAGGGAATAATGACAAGAAAATATCTGCACACACTCAGTATAGACAATTTTTTCTTCCAAATATTGTCATTCGGAGGTTGGCTCATACCACAGTTGCAAACTCTGATAATGAATAGCTAAATAGATTGTTTATAAAGCCCAGAGGGAAGACATGATCTTTGGGAACCAGGATGAAGGGTATTTTATTATATTTGCCCTTGTGCCTGTGGGCTTAAGCAAAGTGTGTGATAGACTGGAACAATTCCTGGGGGTAATCACATTCCGGGAGTCCAAAGTTCCCTCCCGCTGAAATAGGTCTGTAGGGCCTGTTGACTGTTGAACACTCACACAGGATCTCCTAGGACAGAGTGGGAAAACAGTCCCAGAGTTGATTACTCCAGATGTTTTGATCTGTGTTCTATCAGCCAAATCGTCTGATTCAACAGCTTCTTCTATGGAGCATGGGTCCACAGCTCCACAGAGGAAACAGAATTTGGTTTCAAGCCAGTGGCTACTGTTTTAGGTTTTGACTACAAGTGTTAATTAAATTGGCAGATTAGTTAAGTTATGGGAGTCAACATCACTGATCTCAAGAGAAAACATCTCATGCCCCATGCTTTTGGGCTCCAATTACCTGCACACAATTTACCTTCAGTGTGTGTGTGTGTGTGTGTGTGTGTGTGTGTGTGTGTGTGTGTGTGTGTGTGTCTGTGTCTGTGGTATGTGTGTGTTGTTTGTGTGTGTGTGTGTGTCTGTGTCTGTGGTGTGTGGTGTGTGTGTGTGTGTGTGTGTATCTGTGTATATGTGTGTGTGTGTGTGTGTGTGTGTGTGTTCCTGTCAACAACTGCTCATGGGAAGACTTGTCTTTCCCTATATCTGTACGATGACTGCCACTTCACTACTAAAAACAAGTGGATGGGGGGTAGGAAGTTACCTTTGAAGTGGCCAACAATGTTATGTTTAAGCCTTAACCTGTTTTTGAAAGATGGTTTTTGCCAGTCGAGGAGAGACAATTTCAGGAGGCAACTTCCACGGTGAATACCCAGCCAAAGTAAGCTTTCTGAGTGTGCTCCTGACCCCGGAAGTCCGTGCCGGTGCAGGCCAGCTGAACTGAGGTGTTTTTTTAGGCCCTGGACTATTTGGCCATTGGCATCCACGAACTTGCGGCAATCAGTGAACGAAGAATCGAAAGGCTGTGTAACCCCTCCCTCAGCGAGCTGCCTGCCTTCCTGGTGGCTGAAGGAGGTCTGAACTCGGGGTTCATGATAGCCCACTGCACGGCAGCAGCCCTGGGTAAGCACACTACCGTTCGTCAGCACATAAGCCGCCCGTGGGCCTCCCAGGTTCCCCGAAAGTGGCAGCATTTGCCTTGGAATGAGCTCTGATGTTGCTCCACTTCCTTGGACTTCCTGCCTCTCACATTTAGCACAGCAAGCAGATTGAATCTTCACATTTCCTTAGAGAAAATAAAACCTAAACAAGAGAATGCTGGAGGGTAATAATGTAACCTTGAGGCATAAATGGAAAATTGCCCCAGAGAAAGCAATCCTGACATTGCATTTGAACATCTATGTAGCTTTGCCCCCCCCCCCAGCCCAAAGACTATCAGAGGGGAAAAAAAAGACAGACGATTATAGTTGATGGCAAAACTTGAGCCAGACCAAATGCTTAAACTCTGCAGATCTTCTATTAGATCGACTACCCACTAAAAGATTAAGATGCTCTCAAAATATATAAAAATACTTCCAGGAAGCAATATGCCTCCTGGAGACTAGGCTTCCGTGAAGCCGGTTTCTGATTTGAGTTTGCAAGGAGCAGATAACTAAGGCACCAGAACAATGCCTGTCACAGAGTTAGTGCCAGTGGCCTTGCATATTTCCCCTCACTTAACCGGAACACTACCAGGAGGGAGCGAGGCCCTGTTCTCTTCTCCATTGGCCAGGTGAATAATCAGAGATTCCAGAAGCTGAGTGGCTTTTCCAATATCGCACAGTAGTTGGATGCAGAGCAGAACTCAAGTACAGCCATATTGGTACCCAACTTCGTGCACTCGCTGCCTCGATCTCTTTTTATCATCATCACCACCATCACCACCACCACCACCACCATCACCACCACCACCACCACCATCATCACCACCACCACCACCACCACCACCACCACCACCACCACCACCACCACTACCACCACCACCATCATTTAAGCACTTTAGTAACAGGTACTTTCAGTTGGTTGACTTAAATCAATGGTAAGCTTGTTACAAATTAAAAATGAAATTAAAAAAAAATCCCAACCAGATTATGAAACAACTTAAAAATCTTCAATGGCAGCTGGGCGGCAATGGCACATGCCTTTAATCCCCAGCACTATGAGGCAGAGCCAGGTGGATCTCTGTGAGTTCGAGGCCAGCTTGGTCTACAGGGCAAGATCCAGGACAGGCACTAAAACTACACAGAGAAACCCTGTCTCTAAAAACAAAAACAACAACAAAAAAAATCTTCAGTGTCATATTGAGGAAAACCAGACATAGATAGATAAATAGATAGATAGATAGATAGATAGATAGATAGATAGATAGATAGAGGTAATAAGCAACAAAACCTGTTTGTCATTATCCAAAAGAGACATCTTTAGGTAAAAGTATTTATTCTAACCACATGCTTTGTGGACAATGCAGATAGCTCCATCTTATGTGGCCAAGTGACAAAAGACAAGTCCTTAGGGTCTTCAGCTGCCATCTTTGTATTTCCTGTTGCTGGAATGCCATGCCCTGTGTCCCTGATTGGATGACTAAATGCTTGATGGAATGGCCGATACCCTGCCATTTACTCAGGTCCGCCCTGCTCAGCATAAGCAGATGAGTCCTCCGTGGGTGGATGGCCTGCTTGCATCTTGTGGTTTAAGATTCTCTGGGTATTTGGGTTGTGATTGAAGTTGCAACACTTTGAGGTGGCTACTGACCTTGGGTCTTATCTCCTTGGTTCTCATTACCCTCGCCATCACTGTCATCTCTAGGCTGTCTTCCAGGATGAGGAACCCTGTGGAATCATGGCCTGTAACCCCAAACACAGCCTGGCTCACTGGTCTGTCTTGCTGTCTCTCTCTCCAGCTGTCAGCACCCTCTCTATCTAGTCTCCCTGCACGAGAGGGTTAGAATAGGGTGGTCCCAGGATGTAGAAAGTGGGGAACCTCTGTCTAAAATAGCGTGGGCATTGTTGGGCCTGGCCTTCTGGTCCCTCGGTCTTTCCTAACTCTTATAATTCTGGTAACCCTGATGGTAACTGCATGGAGGACCTCTACCACATAAAGACGGTCTACAATGGTTGTAGTAGGCTATGTCTTTACTGCCTTGGGCTTGAATTCCACCAGGGCCTGCAGCCTTTACCGCCTCCGCACATCTTTCCTGGTATCATTCCTCTCAATCAAACCATACCCATTTCTTACAATGAAACCACTTTACTGTTCTGAAAAACCTTCTTTCCCCGGCAGGTGCTGTGGGTATGAGGCTGCCTGGGGTCCTGGCCTACATGCTGTTGGTTGCTGTGATGGTGGCTGGGATGCATTGCGGGAGCTGTGGCTCCTCCAAGGGTGTGATAGTCACTAGGCTGCTGGGACAGTGGGGTTGCTCTGGATTCTCAGGAATCCACTCTCTCTGTTCCCGCTGCTGTTCCATACCAACCATCTTGGGTTCATCAGTACATCATCTTAAAGTAGAGTAGCCAGATTCAACAACAACCAAAAATGTAGGATGCCCAGTTCTATTTGGATTACTTGGGATCTACTTGTGCTTGAAACAAAACAAAACAAAACAAAAACAACCAAACACTGGTTTTTATCCAAAAATCCCAGTTCAGCTGAGCATCCTGTATTTTCTTTAGCAGTCTTACCTCAGAGGACTAGGTACCATGATGGTTAATTGAAAGCATCCAGTGGCTTCTAAACCCCAGATCTGCCATTACAATCAGTGTGGTGTCAGGCCTCTTTATCTTGGTGATAATTCCTCAGCTCTCCGTGGTGTAGACTACATGATGGTAACTGTACCTTAAATCGGGCTGTCTTGAGTATTAAATGGACTAATTATACTTATAAAGTCTTGGGGCTCTGCTTGGCCTCAGGAGCACTAACTAAACAGTAATTTCTATTTTAATAATAGTCCCCCCCCTTTTTTGGGGGGGGGGGGGGAGACAGCCCTAGCTAGCAGAGAACTCAGAGGTAGACCAGGCTGACCTGGATCTTTTAAGAGATTCGTCTGCCTCTGACTTCCCAGTGCTGGACTTAAAGGCATGGGGGACACCATGCCGAACAATAAGATACTCAGAAGCTCTTCCCCACTCATACTTCTCACTCAAACTCAATACAAGCCACTTAGCGAGAACCACCTAGTTCACCTTCTTCTCTGGCGCGGTATTGTCTACTTGCTCACTTCGTGGTTTCTAAAGCACATCCTAACACAGAGACTTCTCACTTTATGGAGGTCGTGGGGCAACAGGACTTGAGTTCTAGGCAAGACTATGGGCCTTGGGGAGACTGGCTTGAATGAGTTCATCCTCATGAGCTGCCCACTGAAAATGGACTTTCTTATTTAATTCAGTCATTCATTTATTTTTGGGTACTTGGAAGTCTGTACTTCCTACAAAGGTCCTTGTCAACACAACCCTCATTTCATACGGTACCAGGGTACAATTTTGAGTGCCAGAACTTGAGAGATCTTGTACAAACCAGGACAAAGTTGGTCACCCTAGTTTAAACCTGGACCCTTGAGGGGTGGGATTCCTTCTATCAGTGGTCCTCAACCTCCCAAATGCTGTGACCCTTTGATACAGTTCTTCACGGTGCGGTGACCCCCCCACCATAAAATTACCTTCATTGCTAGTTCATAGCTGTAACTTTGTTACTTTTATGACTCATAATGTAAACAGCTGTGTTTTCTGATGGTGTTAGCCAAGCCCTGTGAAAGAATTGTTTGAGCCCAGGGGTCATGACCCACAGGTTGAGAACCAGTGTCTTACATCATCGGAAAGAGAAGCTGTTTTCTAGATCCGTAGAAGAGGAGGAAAGACTTTGAGTTTGACCTTTTCTAACATCCAGAACTGAGAACAAGGTTTGGGTCTTTGCTCCTTAAGGTATAGTCTTCAGTATGGCGTATGAAGGATGCCGTATGGCAACAATATGGCATCACATGGGAGTTTATTAAAGTAATGGGAACTCAGAGCCTATCCCAAACTCAGTATCTGCACTGTAGCATGTAACGTGGGAACTCAGGTTTGAGAGACCCCAGTATAGATGCCCCTCACTTCCTAGACATCACTGGTTATCACGAAGTCCTTGTTCAAGCCCCAAACACCTACTTACATGGTCTTGGAACTGTCTCAGCAATTCATTGTTGCCCAAGGTCTGCAGACCCAGCATCGGTTTTCAGTGCCAGCCCTAAATGCTAATCTGGCTTTTCTCCCAACATAAGCAAATCACTCTTGAGTAGCTAGACTCATCCATCATGCTCCCCACCCCATCCCCACCCATCTCGAGGGCATGCTAAATGCTTCTAGCATTTTTGGCATGGTTTTGTAATGTGAGCATGCCCACATTCTCATCTCCTCCTTATCTCCGAACTCACCAGGATCGTAGGACCCTCCCCACTTTGGGAGAACACTGACCCGTGTGTTTTCCACTGTGGCTGTGCGCCATCTGGTCAAGGGCCCCTGGAGAGGTCCTTCCATGCTGTGGAGACTTTGAAGGGAGCTGTGTATTATTTTAGCAGCATTTCTTTTAGGGATGCTCCTTCACTTGCACTGGTCTCTTGCAGTTTCGGAGAACAAGGCTCTCTGTCATCCTTCATCTGTGGACTCACTCTCGACCAGCGCCGCCACGGAGGACCACGTCTCCATGGGAGGATGGGCAGCCAGGAAGGCCCTCAGGGTCGTCGAGCATGTAGAACAAGGTAAAGCCAGCACTGGGAGGCGGGTCTTTCTCGGAATGGAATCACTGCCCACAGAATCAGTATTCTTTGGAAACTCATTTGAAATACAGATCCTCTGACCCCTCCCAGAAACACTAGGGAGAGGAGAGGAGTGTAGCTAAAGAGCTTTCCGGGTGATTCTGTCCCTCACTGAAGACTAAGAACTAAGGATCTATGCAGAGATAATCTGGTTCCTTGTATAGCTTTGTTTTAATGAGGTGGGGTTTTTCTTTGTTTGTTTTGATATCTGAAAGTGGAGAGAAGAGGACCATGAACCCTAGCAAGCCTCAACTTGATTCAAAAGCCCAAATATTTGCTTCCTGTTTTTTTGTTTTCCCAAATTATCTGCAAGCAAATCTCTATGTTGTTCATATATACTTTCTCTCTTTAATATGAATAGTTCCAGGCTGGAGAGATGGCTCAGTGAGTAAGAGCACATAATACTCTTGTAGAGAACTTTTTTTTTTTTTTTTTTTTGGTTTTGGTTTTTCGAGACAGGGTTTCTCTGTGTAGCTTTGGAGCCTTTCCTGGAACTCACTCTGTAGACCAGGCTGGCCTGGAACTCACAGAGATCCACCTGGCTCTGCCTCCTGAGTGCTGGGATTAAAGGTGTGCGCCACCACCGCCCGGCTCTTGTAGAGAACTTAAGTTCAGTCACCAGAATCCATGTCAGGTAACTGCCTGTAACTCCAACTCTGGAGTCATCTGGCCACCTCTGGCCTCCAGGAGTCCCAACATTTATGCGCATGCACGCTCACAGCGCGCACGCGCGCGCGCGCGCGCGCGCACACACACACACACACACACACGTATATATGCATATATTTCTAAGTATAACCCGCCAGGTCTGTATAACGTAAACTGGATGTTTGGTATTGGACAACCACTTAGTGTGTTTCTCAGAGGGGAAGACTTCATTCTCCTGTTCTCGGCATTCCTCAGTTGCCTGTAGTTCTTTGCTTGGGCTTCCCCCATCCACATTAACATGTCTACTGGTATTGCCCTCATTCAACTCCTGTTATCAGACCTTTCCTCTCAGCCAGGACGCCGTTCCACACCCAACAAAATTAAACAGCTGAGCCCTGGTATCATCAGCACCAAATACACATTCAAAATCCCCCAGCCGCAGCGCCTCAGCCTGTCCGTTGGGTTTATTCAAACGGGGATTCCAGGCCCCTGTTTTAAATTCTGCTGTCAGGATTCCAAGCTGCTTCTCCTCCAGGGTCATCCTGTGCCCCTTGCTTTTCTTCTGGCTTTTGACTCAGCAACACACCAGACTAGTTTTCCAGCAATAAGATTGATGTTCTGGATTTTCCGGTAGCTTCTTTGTGATATCAGTTTCATGTTTTCTTTCCCCTAGGCATTTCTGATGTAGTGACATTGATTTGAGTTTTTGTTTGGGCAAATGTTTTCATTTGCCTGGACTGGAATGGCTGGGGCCATACAGTAGCTCTCCACCCATCTTTATGGGAGCCGGCCGGAGATGTATTGCCATCCGGAGTGGATGCACAATGTTATGTGCCTACTGGCAGAGTTTAAAGACACCCATTTCTCCATATCCTCAGCTGCACTTGCTATCTGTCTATCATAGTGTTTATCTGAATGTTCACACGTCGGATGGTTCCCCTCTAGATACACAGCCCCGACCAAAGTGTGAAGAGTTGCCCTTATCTATCCCCACCTCTTCTATCTAATCCATCGACACACCAACGCTGTCTTCCAAACACATCAAGTCAAGCCCATCACCTCCTTCTCCTTAATCTCCTATGCAGTCACCACCCATCACGAAACAGGGCAAGCATCCGCAAACGTAATCGAGACCACACCATGCCCCAGCTGGAAATGTGCCGGTTACTTTTCAGCACTCAAAACTTCCTTATCCACCCCACTTCCTTCGGCCTAGAAGCCCGGCACGATCTGGTATCTGCCTCTTGCTGCCCCTTCTCTCACTCTCTCTCCATCCCGGAACCACAGTGATGGCCTGCGGTGACAGGGAACACATCACCTGCAGCTCCGACTCCAAGGACGTCTGGTCCCTTCTCACTCCATCCATGTCGCTGCTCAAACTTCTCACACATCTCCCTTGGCTTCAGCCAGAACAGTAGCTGGCATTTTTTCCTTCCTTTTTTGTTTTGTTTTGTTCTGATAGCACTTGGTGCCTCTAGTACAGTTAGACATGTTTGTCTTTCCATAATGGCAAGGCTCTCGTCCGCCTTGGCCATATCACTAGATGGACCTGGTTCAGATTTAGTGCTCAAATGTTTGCATGGTGGCAAATGGCCACCTGGTTCATCCGTGCTGTGCTCTCTGTTCATAACATGTAAGAGAACTCAGCCACAGGTCAGTAAGAACCAGCTGTATGACAAGCCTGTAGGTGATGGGCTTGTGACTTAAGTTTGTTTTGATTACAAGTGTTCGGCAAACATCTTCAAATTCTGGAATCCAGCAGTGCTGGCTCTAAGTAGGAGATCTGGGCCTGCTTGTCACCGTGCCCACTCACCGTCCTTGCTTACGTCACTAGCAGGGGAGGATGGAAAGTATAGACAGGCACCTGCCACCTGAGCGGAGTACGGAACAGAGTGGGCGAGAGGCACCCATCTCCTGCCCTTACAGAAACCAAGTCTGTTCGGAGGAGCAAACCCTGGCCAACCTGCCAGCTCTTTGTGGTAATTAACAAAATGCTGAAGGGGAGAGAGTTACAGCAGGAAAAGGCAGAACCTGATGAGATCTGAAGGGATCAGAAATGGCATCTTCAAAGGAGAACCCATGAGTAAGACCTGGGTTCTTAGTATGAACATATGGTTCTCTCTCTCTCTCTCTCTCTCTCTCTCTCTCTCTCTCTCTCTCTCTCTCTCTCTCTCTCTCTGTGTGTGTGTGTCTCTCTCTCTCTCTCTCTCTGTCTCTCTCTCTCTCTCTGTCTCTCTGTCTCTGTCTCTCTCTGTGTGTGTGTGTGTGTCTGTGTGTGTGTGTGTGTGTGTGAAGTGAATTACTGTTATGAGGGAAAGGGAAGAGGTATGCAAAAAGTAAGTTGTTTTTGGATGCATTACAGTGACGCCATGGGGCATCCAAGAACAGAGGCCAAAGCCTGGGGAAGTGCTGCTGGGTGATTGATGGTCAGTGCTCTGTGTCTAGAGGTAGCCGGAGGTGACCAGGGGTATGAGGTGCAGGAGCATGGCCTTGATGAAGCAGTTGCAGGGGGATGAAAGGGGACTTGAAGGATAACGGCTGACTGGAAGAAGGGAAGAAACTGGGTCAAAGGGAACACCTCGTAGAACAGGGCGGCAGAGCTCTGAAGGGAGTATGGGGGGGGGTATGAAGTCAAGACAGTTCTAGAGACAAGGTCATGCATTCAAATTGGCCCCGTGGTAGGTAAAAGCACCAGACATGTTTTCAATGCATCTAAGTAACATATACATTTGCAAGATAGCTGAGGAGTGCTGTTATTTATTTGCTTAGGATAGTTTTATTTCTTTTTAATTTGAAGTAAATGTTTTTTTTAATAGAGTATATTCTGGTCACAGTTTCCATTCCAATCACAGTTTTCCCTCCCCCATCACCTCCTAGGTCCTCAGAAAGGCCAATAAAACAAATAAACCAGAATAAAACAAAGCAAACAAAAGAAAAAAGGAAAAGCACACACACACACACACACACACACACACACACACACACACATATACACACACAGAGAGAGAAATATACATACCCATGCACACACACAAAACCCATGGAAACACAAAATCAGCTCCAACAATAACACTGAATTCACTTTGTTTTGGCTGTCTAGTGCTGGGCACGGGACCTCCCTTAAGTGTGTTTTGTCTACCCAGTGATGCTCCCTTGAAGAAAACTAATTTTTCCTTTGCAAGCAGTTGTCACTTGGAGATAGCTTCTGGGTTAGGGATGGGATGGGGGCTTGTGTCTACTTCTTTTCTCACTTCTGGGGCCCCATCTGGCTTGAACCTGTGCTGGCCCTGTGCATGCTGCCATAGTCTGTGTGAGTTCATATGCATGTCAGTCCTGGTGTGTCTGGAAGGCACGGTTTCCTTGGTCTCTTCCATCCCCTCTGGCTCCTACAATCTCTCTTCCCTAAGACCTGAGGGGAGAGGTTCCACGAAGACATCCCATTTAGAACTGAGTGTTCCAAGGTCTCTCGCTCGCTGCCCAGTGCCCAGCTGTGAGTCTCTCTACATTAGTTCCCATCTACTCCAGGAGGAATCTTCTCTGATGATGGCTGAGTGAGACACTGATCTATGGGTATAGCAGAATGTCGTTAGGAGTGATTTTATTGCTGTGTCCCTTTATTAGAGCAATAGTATTTGGTTTCTTTTCTTCTAGGTCCATGGCCAATCTAGTCTCAGGTTCATGGCCCCCTGAGCAGTGTCAGGCACAGGGTTCATCTCATGGAGTGGGCTTTAAATCCAATCAGAGAGTGGTTGGTGACTCCCACAACTTTTGTACCGCTACTGTACCAGTGTATCATGCAGACAGGTCACCATTGTAGGTGGAGGGGTTTATACCTTGGTTGGGGTTTAGCTTTCTCTTCTGGTAGCGTACAGAGAACCGTCCAGTGCAGTGAATACCAGTCAGCAGGGGTGAAGGCTCCAGTTAGGCACCGGCGTGGCTCCTCCATGTTCAACGAGATATGTAGATGTTGTCTTCAGCCACAGGGCCTTACTGTCAGCTTATGGAAAGCTACCAGCAGGCTTGGAAATAGCCTGAGTGCTGGGAATAAAGGTGTGTGCCACCACCACCACCACCTCTCAGCTAGAATCTTTAACATAGGCTTTTTTCCCCCCTTGAGAACTTCAGTTCAGAGTGGTTAACCCAGATGGTAGATTAAAAATATTTGACTTCTTGCTTTTGAGTTTATAAAGCACATTACACATTCAGGTGAGTACAGAAAGGTCACAAAGGAGACAGGGTAAATAATCCACTGTGGACCTAGAAGAGCTGCATCATTATTTAGTGAAATTGGGACTCCAAGCAGGGATGGGGGTTCTCATGTAGCGCCCCCTCCCCATCCACATGACATAACCACTGGCCGGCAAACCTTGGTGAAAGGGGGACTGGCAGATTGTGCCAATGGAGCCTAATGGGCAGCTCCCTTTGTGGGTTAGGAACACGACTAATCTCTCCCGGTAAATCTTTCAATTCTCCAGCTCATCAATGAAGATATAACCAAGAGCTTAGAAAAAAGAGGTTTAAGCTGGATGGTGGTGGCTCATGCTTTGAATCCCAGTACTTGGGAGGCAGAAGCAGGCAGATCTTTGTGAGTTCAAGACCAGCCTGTTCTACAGAGTGAGTTCCAGGACAGCCAAGGCTGTTCACAGTAAAACACTGTCTCAAAAAAACCAAGAGGAAAAAAAAAAAGAGGCTTAAATTAAAACTAACTTAGGCCTGGAGCTGTGTGTATGTAGCTCAGTTGGTATAGTGTTTGCTTCCTAGCATGCACAGGCCCTGGATTCAATCCAGGCACCGCATAAACTGGTTGTAATAGGTGCATACCTGTAATACCAGCACTTTAAGGCAATTTCATTCTTTCACTACACAGAAAGCCAGCTGCCCATTGCAGTTGGCTCCTGATAGTTCCAATTCTGCATGATTTCGGCCCCATGAGGATGAAGCCAGACTTGAACTGACCATTAACTGCTTCCACGTCTTTGTTTCAGTCCTGGCCATCGAGCTTCTCGCTGCCTGCCAGGGCATAGAGTTTCTACGGCCCCTGAAAACAACCACTCCGCTGGAGAAGGTGTATGACCTGGTGCGCTCTGTGGTCAGGTAAAGTCAACGGGTCTCCGGGACTGACCCCATTTCAGAGCGGTGGGTCTGTGCAGAGGCAGGTGTGCAGCGGCTGATGGCTTGATCTGCTTTCTCTGTAGGCCCTGGATCAAAGATCGCTTCATGGCCCCGGACATCGAAGCAGCCCACAGGCTGCTTCTGGAGCAAAAGGCAAGCTGACCACTTGATGGGCGTGAGGAAGGGAAATGGGAGCTGAGGGTGGAGAGACACTGTCTTAGCCTGTCTCTCCTGGCTGTCCCTAGGAAGAGAACACAAAAGTAGAGAGCTGATTTGCAAGATGACGAAAAGCTGTTGATAGTTCCCCCAAGGACCCAGCTTGGACGCAGATACTGACTATGGAAGGTTTAGACGTGGTTTTAAGTGGAGGGTGGAGACAGTATTCATGAGGAGACTATGAGGGTGGTAGCTCTTTAGCCTTCTGTAAGCCGTCCTCTGCCGTGCTAACACACTTTCTCCAGCTGAGGTTAGCACAGCTCCCACCACCGAGTGAAGAAGACACTGTGAAGGCCCAGGGTTCCACTGTGTCCCTGCACCTGCCTGCTCGGCAAGATAGTTTTCTTTACCGCTCATCTCCTCTGGTTATATTGGCCATAGACTTGGGAACTTGATACAGATGCCTAAAAGACTGGGTCATCTTTTAAAATACATACACACAAAACAAAAGCATGCATCCTATGCAAATTAATACACATGTGTATTTTATATGTGTATTATATATCTTTATATATATAAGATGTATGCATATGTATGTAAACATATATCTTTTATATATATGCCATACACACACACATACACACACACACACACACTTTTTAAAAAATGCTTTAATGCCGGGCGGTGGTGGCGCACGCCTTTAATCCCAGCACTCGGGAGGCAGAGCCAGGCGGATCTCTGTGAGTTCGAGGCCAGTCTGGGCTACCAAGTGAGTTCCAGGAGAGGCGCAAAGCTACACAGAGAAACCCTGTCTCGAAAAACCAAAAAAAAAAAAAAATGCTTTAAAACTTTTGAGTCATTGGTGTCACATTCCCTAGAATCATTTGATTTCCCTTAGAGCTCTGACTGTTCTGGGGGAACAAACGTTCCCTTTAAACTTCACAACTCTGATTTCTATATCCTTTGAGGGAACACATCTCCCATGAGGGGGTTAGCTTGTAAAGAATACATGTTCTTTTCCAGGGTGTTTTAGATAGTAGCTCAGACTGTGTAGCTCAGGCTGGCTCAGGACTCATTGAGCAGCCCAGGCTGGCCTCAAGCTTAGGCCAATCTTCTTCCCTTGGTATATTCCAGAACCAGAGAGTGTTAGGATTCAGGTAGGAGCCACCACACTCGCTAAGAGTATATCTTGTGAGGTCATAGGATGGGAAAGATTCCTTGGCTATCAGGGGCCACAAGCAGAAAGAAAGGAAACTACAAACCAAAAATGGAGCCTTAAGAAAATAGGTAGGCAGATGGAGAGGAAAGCCTAGCCATGGAGGTGACAGTCTTATCATTGAATACCAATTCAGCTTCCATTCCCGGTGAAGGGTGGAAGCTGACGCTGACTTGTCCCTGGTGATGCTTATGGGGCTGGGATGACACGGGCTGTGTTTGCATACTTCTGGCCATAGAAACACAACGTTGGGGGAATTCCCTGTACCACCTTTCAGCTTCCAAGCCTTGTGCGCTGCTCTATCTACCAGATTCCCAAGTAAGCATGCAGAGTTTCGCTCTGAGCTGCCAAGGTTCTGTTTGGGTTTTGTGGATTTGCTTGCTTTGCTCCGAAGTAGGAAGCCGCTTCAACACCTTTACAGCGTGAGCTTGGTTCTGGACTTTGTATTTTAAAATCCTTTAAAGTATCAAGCAGCTAATTGACACGGACTCTGTGTCAAATGGCTCAAAATACAAGCAAGTGAGCTGCTATGTGTTTGGCCAGGTACAGAGGGTGCTTTGATTTGGGGCGAAGCTCACGTTTCATCACAGCATGTGGAAACAACCTTGTCCGTAATTGGACTTTGTCCCCTCCTTGCCTCTCAGGTTTGGGAAGTTGCTGCACCGTACATTGAGAAATACAGAATGGAACACATCCCAGAATCCAGGCCGCTTTCTCCAACCGCGTTTTCATTAGAATCCCTGCGAAAGAATTCAGTCACAATCCCAGAGTCTGACGATCTTTAATGGGCTTCCTCGTGGTCGGGCACATCAGACATGCCTGAGCCCAACACAGCAGTGGTGTGCTGCAGGAGGGGCCCAGGGGGACCGCCCATGACGCGAAGAACTCATCTCTTTTCAAACATGCTCTGGTTAGGTCGGCAGCGGCGGTAGCCAAGCAGTTGCGGAACGGAGAGCCTTGTCCTTGTTGTCACGGTTTGCGGAGTCCTGGCTGTCTTTGGGTCACGGCGTTTTCTTTTTTGACAATACAAACAGGCTACTTACTCTTAAGAATGGCCACAGTTCCATAGGTCTATTTTTACTCTTAGTATTAGGAAACTCAATTCAGAGCACTCTTTAAAGTGTCAGATTTTTGTGAACCTATTAAAGAAAAATTTGTCTCGAGAAACTCTCCTCGTTGACTTTCTTGGGCTGGCTGGACTGTACCATAACCTGACAAATATGCTCCAAGTCAGAATTTGTTCCTAAGCCCCTCCTCCTGCTGCTCATTGAATCACAGAAAAGAGTCTTGAGCGAGGGGAGCTAATTCAGGGGGTGCATAATTGAGTTCCATAATTGGGTGCATGATGAGGATCCAAATTGAGTTCAGATCTCAAGCATCTGTGTAAAAAAAAAAAAGCCTGGTGTGGTGGTGGGCACCTGAACCCCAGGGCTGGAGGGCAGACGGGTAGCTCCTGGGGGATCACTGCTCAGCCAGTCTGGCAGAAGTGGTGAATTCCAGGTTCAGGGAGAGACCCTGCCTCAGGAAAAAAAAAATGGTGCAGACAGTGATAAGAAAAGACATCTTAACATTTATCTCTGGGCTCTGCATGTGCCCACAGGAGCAAGTACACCTTACACACACACACACACACACACACACACACACACACACACACACACACGGGGGGGGGGGGAGATGAACAGGTCTGAAGCCATTAACTACAAAGGTTAACAGTCCCTTTTTTTGGTTGTTTCTGGTTGTTATCTGTGTCCTACTAAGTACAGGGGTGTTTAAACCACCCCACCAAGAATGAAAGGAGTTGGGGGCGGGGTGAATATAAAGACTGCCCTTGCCTAGCCATGCCCTTCATGTTTCTCCAATCACGGCACATATCTCCTAACCGCTTGGTGATGTGCTCCAGCTGAAGTTCGAAGTTAGTCCTGCCATTTCCCACAACTTAGTACCTCCATTCACCTGTTGGTAGTAAGTTTAGCGAGCAGCCTCCTGTTGCGCAGATGAGGCATTTGGGGGTCGGGGCGGGAGCCGCCCCACTGCCTGCAGTAGGTAATCATTAAAACGAGCTTTGTTAACACAGGTCAGATGGGGCCCTGCAGATGATTGCCCAATCTCTGTTTCTCCCCCAAGCAGATAAAGAATTTTGTGGGCAGGCTTTGTGTAATTGTTCAGAAAGGTCATGTGACCTCTCGACAGCCCAAGGCTGAGATGGATGACTTTGCAGCCATTGCTGTACACACGTGCAAAACACCACATGTGCAAGAGTCTGAAAGCGTGGCTAGAAAGACTGTAGCTGGTTAACGAACGCCCTTGCCAGCATCCCTCGCTGGTCACAGACTACAGGGGCCCAAGATATATTCCCCAGTACACTGTCCTCACCCTTCTGAGCATGCCTTGTCCACAGTCTTTGCCTTCAGCAACTCAAGAGGTGAAAATGGACCCAGGAACAGGCTTCACTGCAGGATATTCTTCCTGCTAGTTCTTGCTGAATGCCAGCACACACACACACACACACACACACACACACACACACACACACACACACCACGGAGTTTACCCATTCCTCTACCCAAGCTGCAGCAGAGGCAGCGGGGCCCCAGCAGACGGCTGCTCCCACTCCTGGTTTGGAGATGTCGGCTTCCTGTCCACCTCCGTCTTCCTTTGGACAGGTTTCCCCCCTAGGTTTTGTATCTTGCTCTGTTAGTTCCCACCTTCAAGAGTCTCGGGTAGGTGGGGGGGGGGCAGACTGTGTCAATGGCTTGCTATCATGGTGTTCTTTGGGGAGAAACTGAGCCTGGGGTCCTGTGTGTGTTAAACACATGCTCTGGCACCGAGGTGCCCTCCTACCTTCCACTTTTATTTATTTGGAACGAAGTTTAACACCTAATATTTGCTTTTCTGTTGCTGTGAGAAAACACTGGGAGCAAAAGCTGCTTGGTGGAGGAAAAGGTTTCTTCCAGCTCGCACTCCCGTGGACAGCCCATCACTGCAGCAATCTGGAGGAACACTGCCTGCTAGCTATTGACTGGCTCACTAACACCTTCTACAGCCCAGACCCACCTGCCTAGGGCTGGTGCCATCCACAGTGGGTTGGGCCTTCCCACGTCAATCATCAGCCATGATAATCCTTCACAAACAGGGCCGCAGGCCAATCTGAAGAGGGCAGTCCCAGAGTTGAGATGTCCCAGTTGACTCTAGGCTGTGTCAACCTGACAACTGGAGCTCACCGGGACACCTCCCCCTCTTCAGAAAAAAAACCGCCTCTTCCGAGCGTAGCTGGTCAAGTTTCTGAACAATTCAGTCAGAGAAAGATAACAGATCTGAGACAAGGTGACGAACCCCGTGCCTTTCCTGCGGAGGCGTGGCACACGAGTTGGCATATCAGGGTTCCCTTCCCCGGGGTGCTTGCCTGGGCCCCTTCACTTAGGGCGGTAGGAGAGGATGAGGCCTCAAGTGTGGGGTCCACCCACAACTTCTGCTGTTCTATTTGCTGATTCTCTAGTGGCCAGTACAAGCCACGTGGCAAGCCAGAAACTATAGAGGATGGACATATGACTTAGTATACTTGTGGCTATTATCAAACAATCTACCCAATTTATAAAATCTAATAAATAACTTGAAAAGAGATACTTTTCATACTATTATACTTGGCGTTTTATTTTGGGGTCTGGACATTCATCCTTCGGGGGCTGAACCACTCTTTCACAGGGGTCACTTAAGACCATCAGAGACCACAAATATTTACATTATGTTATATTCATAACAGTAGCAAAATTACAGTTATGAAGTAGCAATGAAAATAATTTTATGTTTGGGGGTCACTACGACATGAGGAACTGTATTAAAGGGTTGCAGCATTAGGAAGGTTGAAAATGGCTGTCATAAACAATTGATCAAAAATAAATAAACAATCATTTTGCCCTTTTTGGTTACCTTTGTTAAAGGCACCAATTTATTAGGTGTGAGCATTGAAAACAAACAAAAAAATAGAGAGAGCATTCCCTCAGCCTAGAGGTAGACCTGCTTAGTGTAAACGACCCTGTGCTTTCTGCTTCCTGCTGAGTTCAAGAAAGGCCTGGGGTTGCAAGGGAGCTAATGACATGGAAAATCTTATTGGCGACTTCCGAGAGAGCGTTTTTTCTCTCCCTGGAGCCAGGGAAGTCATCTTTCTCTCCTGCTTGACCTGGATGAGGAAAGTGACTGACAGTCAGATGGGGCATTGCTGGGTGGCGGAGCAGAGGCAGGAAGGTATCTATCTGGGTCATCGCATGGCTGAGTTGTTGTGTATACCAAAGGGGGCTGGCCCTGCTTCTGAACTTCCAGTGGTGAGCTGAAAAGGCTGCTTTTCCCTACATCTCTATCTCTTTACTTCCTAAATTTAGGGCCCCACACATTGTAGACAAGTGCTCTACCACTGAGTTATATACTCCCAACTATCATTTTTTTTTAAACTGTTAGGTAAGGGAGGAATGAGCTGGAGTTCTGGTTTGGCTACAGACTCGCACTAAGATGTGTGAGAGGTAGGTATTTGGGTCCTTTCATAGTACCATGTCCAACAGCAGAAGCTAGGGTGGGAGATTAAAAAACAGCCACAGAACAAAAGGAATTCTTCACTTTTACAGACTCGAGCAGGGAGAAGTCTCCGAGTCTAGTATCTTAGACAAGGAGAGGGATAGGATACAGGTGTGCTGGTCCCCTCTCCAGGGGCAGCATCTCTGGTTTGACCACGACAGGGTATCGCTAAGTTATCCAGACTGGTCTTGAATGTACTCCACAGGATAGGCAGCCTTCAACTCAAGATCCTCCTGCCTCAGCTTGCCAAGGAACTGGGATTACAAGCATGGACCGTCAGGCCTCACTTCCTTCCCCCTTACTTAAAAAAAAATACATATATTATTTTTTATTTTCTGTGTATAGGTGTTTTGCCTGTATGTATGTCTGTGCACCACATGCCTGGTGCCTGTGGAGGCCAGAAGAGGGCATCAGATTCGCTTACCGACAGTTGTGTCCTTGGGAAGAGCAGCCAGTGCTCTTAGCCACTGAGCCATCTCTGAAGTACACCCCCCCACACACACACACACTTTTAAAGCCACATCTGGTCAAGTTTTTGACACCTGTCATGAGTATTATGCCTTCTAGCCCAGTGTGTGGGACTGAGCCAGGGCTGTCGTGCATCACCTGACCAGTGCAGTCTGCTATTTCAGGACTTTTCTGGCACAGCCACATCTGAATGGAATGGTAGAAGTCATAAAGCCAGCACAGCTGCTTGACAAAGATCCAGCAGAGCTGAGCCGCATGATGGCTGCCATGTCACCTTTGGTTCTCATCTCCACCTGTTACATACTTGGGGCACTTTTAATATTTGTACAATTTGAGGATATTGGGTTGATGGAAAATTCCTTATGAATCATTTATGCCTTCTCCCAGGAATGCTGCTTCTAAGCTTCCCCAGGAAAGTCCTGAACATACTATTCCCCCCCACACACACTTTGAGGGAGATACCCTTATCTACTTGAAGGTCTTCCTTACACCTTGGAGGTTGTGACACATAAAGAAGCCAGAGGTCTCTTCATGAGGCTGTGAGACACTCTTGAAACATCTGTCCCTATACTTACACTGGAACAAGATATTCAAAACAAAGTAAATTCAAAAAGGTCAACAAGATCTGGTGGGCTAGAGGAGTTGGCCACAGGTCAGATTACAAGGCTCTTCCCACTGTACACTCAGACAATTACATGGCATACAACTCTGCCCTACATAGAGACATATTGATGAGCAAAGTGTGGAGTGGAAAGATGATAAAAAGTATGAGGTGTCAGGACTTCCCTCTCTTAGAAGTTAGCTCATGCAGAGCCACTATAATGTCATATGACCAAGGAACAATGGAATGCCAGAATTAGACATATAGACAAATTCTATAAAGATATAAATGTGAAAATTGATTGTATTATGCCAGAATTTGAATAATAACTACAGCAGCTTTGGCCTGAGGATTTTTTGGGGGGGCACTCTGACCACTAAGCATTAATAATACACTGCTTGGGACATGGCAAAATGCCCAGAGTGGTTGAAGGTTTTTGTTTTGGTCTAGTGTCCTTGAAGCAA